GGCCCGCCCGGGGTGTAGCCGTGCCCGCCGGCTGCTCCCGAGGCGGTGCCGGCTCCCCGGCTGCGCGGCGTGCGGCGAATAAAGCCGGGGCGCGTAGGAAGAGATTAGCTCGGGGTTTACCCTTCACCCGTGGAGGGATCAGCTGAGGACAGGGGCCGCCCGCCTCCCTAAAAATGGGATTCCCGGAACGCCCTAATGGAGAGCCGGGCCGGGATGAGCACTGAGGAGCTGGGGGGGTGAGGGGGAAACGCAGCCGGCCCCCCGCGGCTGTCACATTTTAGGGAGAGAAAACACAGAAAGAGGGAAAAGGTGCTTTTTGTTCCGGCGGAGGAGCGGCGGGGGGAAGGAGGGAAGAGGGGGGGAGGGCCGGGGCGCGCCCCCTCACCTGCCCCCGCCGCCCCCGCCCGCCGCGCCGCGGCTGCCGCTTGTTTGCGCTCGGCTTATCCGGAGCGGAAATTCCTTTCCGTTTTTGTGAATGACAAACTCATTAACGATTCATCAACACAACCTGTTCCAGCCGGCCCGTCGCCGCGGCAACAGCCCCTTCCGCGCGCCCCCATTGGCTGCCGCCGAAGAATGTCCCCATTGAGGCGCCCCGCGGTTGTACCCATTGAGGAGCCGCCGGGCGCTGCGCGGGGCCGCGGGGCGGCGGGCGGAGGAGAAGGGACGGGGACGGGGAGAGGGGACGGCGGCGGCGACACCACCGACAACCACCGCCGCCGCCACCGGCGTCCGCGCTGAGAGGGGGAGCCCCGCTCGGCGGCACGTTAAATTGGATTTCATTCACTCGGGGCGGAGGAAAAGCCCAAGGGCTGGGGCTGCGGCGGCGATTGGGCAGGTTCATTCAGGGATTCATTGACAAAAAAAAATATAACACCAAAACAACAACAACAACAAAAAAAACCAACGAGAGGAGACCGGACTGCGCACACACACACACACCGACACAGACACACACTCACACACACGGCGGAGCCGGGGCTGCTGCTCCTTCCCCGTGACTCCACCGGCGCGGGGGAGGCGGCGCGG